GTGTTTGAAGATTAAAAACAGGAAAATAGTCATTTTATTACCAATTTCAAATTAGATAACAAATAAAAAATGTACATTATCACTTTATCAATCTCATATGTTGAATTTTACATAAGTTAAACATACGGTGAGATTTAAGAGTCATTAATCCATTTTCATGAGTATTTAAAAATCTGGTGATATTTTCAGCCTGATTTCAATTTATAAAATTTTCTACCCCCTTATGAAAGGAGTTGTAAATAAGAGCAATTAACTTTTTGTCACTGGTTTTTAAAATTAATACTTAATACTAATGAACTCTTCTTTGCATTCAAACAAGTTTTTATGTTCAAATTGACATTTATTTTTAATTAAATGGATGGAAAATGTAGGCTGGAATCGAGAGTAAGTTCTTGCAATAATAACAAAATTTGGCGGATTCAGGAATTTTTAAACTGTAAAGGCGAGGAAGAAGTAAATGGGAAGAAGGAGTAATTTCTCTTAAAATCAAAATATTTAATTTCTGCATTTCGTTGCAGGCAAATGGTTTGGTAGCTTTTTTTTGACGCGGGAAAAAAAGGGGGAGGGGGTCACATACGACAAAAGAACAAACTTATAGAAGGGTCTTGAGTAACATTTGTTGGTATATGTATTCATACTAGAAATATTACTGAAAGTTATAATAGCAGAACTTTTGTCTAGTGTAAAATATCTGGTAATATCTTTCGGTGTTTCTTTTTACCCTAGGAAAAGTACCTATGTGTGGGAATTTTTATATGTGTCTTATGTAAATCGTTTTAATGGCTAATGTTAGATCTGTAAAAACATTGGTGGTGGTGGTGGGGGGGGGGGGGGCACTATATGTTCAACATATACTATACAGTAGTGCTCCCTCAATAAAGACGCCTGTGATTTTTTTTTATTCCTTGTCAAGGGAATTATGTTGGGTTGTGCCCCCCTCCCCCCCCCCCTCCCCCCAGCACTGAAATTGCTTTTCCTTGCCTGAGATCAACTGTTTTTACATAGAGTAAAAGGCCTTTATGATTTTTTATTAGTATTTCTGATATAAATGCATATACCAACAAATGTAACCCAAGATCCTACTAAAAGTTTGCCCCCCCCCCCCATTTTTTCTGACGTATACAAGCCTTTAATATCCCATCGGTCAAAAAATCCATTGTTTATTTGCCTGCAAGGAAATGTGGGAATTAGATTATTGTATATATTTAAGAGGGAATACTCTTTCCTCCTATTTATTCCTTCCTTGTCTTTTATGTTTAAAAAGTCCTGAATCCGCAAATGTTTGTTATTATCATAATCTATCATTATTATAATCTATCATGGGGTTTATTCAATTAAGCATGCATATTAAAGATATAAAAGATAACAAAACAGGCAATATCATCTATGAGCAGTGGCAGTTGGCAGTAAGCAGTTGGCTGTCGTATATGGAATTCCATATGAAATAGCAAAAAAAAAAAAAAAAAAAAAAATGAACAAATAAGTTGTGATCACTGATTTGAAAGCAAAATGTACATATCCATTTTGTCAGTCCCTGATCTTGGTATTGAAGAAAACTCTCAGAGTGTAATAGCATCGAACCCGATGCTAAAAAGAAAAATTAGTCGGCATATAATAACTACATGAAAATAATTTTTCAAAAAGTGTAATGTGAATGGAAGATTATTATCGATTTAGTATATTCACTTCTTTTATCCTTAATGGAAATGGAAGCACCATGGAAACAAGCCCGAAGTACAATATGTATATATATTCAACAGGTATAAAAAATAAATAAAGTTGCTTACATGTAAATTAATGAATATAATATTTGTTCAAAAATATGCATTAAAAGTTGTACACATACCTCAATTCTAAGATTTCACATTTTACTATTTTTTTAAAGGAATTTTCTGCATACAATATTGACAATAAGTATTTATTTAGATATTATACATAAGGTGTGAAACGAATTAACCTTTTACAACTGACGATAGATTTGGAACACACAAAAAAATGGAGAAAAAACTGGGGGGGGGGGGATATACCGGTATCTACTTCTGCTCCCACAATAACTGAAGGATTTTGAGCAAAGGATAATTTGAATTTTTTTTTCTTGCTTTCAGACTGTCATTAATTGTCAGTAAAAACTACTACTTAAAGATATATTGGAATTATTCTATCACCAGTGGAAAAATTCTATTTCCCGTGCCTGCGCGGGACTCATCTAATTGAATTGAAATCTACAGTCTAATTACTCAATTTGTAGGTAATGAAAGCATTCTCACCGATTGAATAGACCAGATAAATAAACTAACATTTTATTTGTATGTATTTTCCCCACTTAAGAAAACAACAGATTCAATAACATTTCATTCAGGTTCCTTTGGACCAAAAAAGTTACTGACAATGTATGCGATACGGACTTTCAATGTATAGACTCACTTTTTATTATGCCCCCGGATCGAAAGATCCCGGGGGTATATTGTTTTTGTCCTGTCTGTCTTTTTGTCTGTCTGTTGTCAACTTTAACCTTGCCCATAATTTTTGATTGGTTGGAGCTATGACTTTCATATTTCACATGTGTATTTCTTGTGACAAGACCTTTCTTTGGGTACCATCATATTTGACCTATTGAACTTGACCTTGGAGTTTGACCCACTTTTGCAAAATTTTATGAGACTTTAACCTTGGCCATAACTTCTGAACAGTTGGTGCTTGGGGTTTCAAACTTCACATTTGTATTATTTGTGACAAGGCCTTTCTTTGGATACCAAAAACTTTGACTTTTTGACCTTGACCTTGGAGTTTGACCTACTTTTGAAAAACTTTAACCTTGGCCATAACTTTTGAACAGTTGGTGCCTGGGGTTTCAAACTTCACATGTGTATTTTTTTGTGACAAGACCTTCCTCTGGATATCAACCTCTTTGACCTTTTGACCTTGACCTAGGAGTTTGACTTACTTTTGAAAAACTTTAACCTTGGCCATAACATTTGAACGGTTAGAGCTAGGGCTTTCATACTTTACATATGTAATCCTTGTGACAATACCTTCCTTTGGATACCAACCACTTTGACCTTTTGACCTTGACCTAGGAGTTTGACCTACTTTTGAAAAACTTTAACCTTGGCCATAACTTTTGAATGGTTGATGTTAGGGCTTTCATACTTCACATATGTAATCCTTGTGACATCACCTTCCTTTGAATACCAACCACTTTGACCCTTTGACCTTGACATAGGAGTTTGACCTACTTTCGAAAAACTTTAACCTTGGCCATTACTTTTGAATGGTTGCAGCTAGGGCTTTCATACTTCACATGTGTAATCCTTGTGACAAGACCTTCCTTTGGATACCAACAACTTTGACCTTGATGGTTTACTTAGTTTTAAAAAACTTTAACCTTCGCCATAACTTTTGAACAGTTGCACTAGGGCTTTCAAATTTAACATTTTTTATCTTTTGGCCTGGATTTTGACTTGCATTTGAGAAACTTTAACCTTCGCCATAAGCTGCAATACGGGGGCATCAGTGTTTCATAAACACATCTTGTTAAAATTTTAAACAGATGTATTTGTGTGAGTGTTTGGTTTCAATGATTATTCAACCGCTGTTTTAGGAAGTAGAATATAATGCAATGTATTTTAGAAGAGATTTTAACTACATGTATTTCATGGAACTTGACCCAAGGCCAGGTAGGTATTCAAAATATTTTTCAATTATATTTAAAACCACCATGTTAGGTCCATCTTTATGCTGTAATATTTTCTCCCTTGTATTTACGCAAACTTACCATACTTGAGGAAGTACGGAAGCCTATAAGTGCCACATAATTTTTTTAAGTTGGAAATTCCAACTTTAAAGTTGGTAATTCCAACTTTTATCTGACTTTTCCAGCTTTAAAGCTGGTAATTTTAACGTTAATCTTGGCTTTTCCAACTTTTTCGGGCTTCATTCGTTTTATTCGTATACTTTGTAGTTAACTGGGTTCGTGTTGCTGTTTTGTAATTACAGAGGAAACAATTTTTTTTATATATATAATTGTGATGAAAGAAGGAATAATTTTCATTACGTTTTCAAATACAAAATCGATATATTTTGTTCAGTTGTCTTTGTAACATGAAAAACAGTGTTGATTCATCATATAAATCAAACACCTAATATAGTCTCATCTGTTAATACTCATTCTCAACAAATTTATACATATTTTTTCAATAGGTATGGTTGAAATGCTCTCACTGACAGAGTTGTATGAAGTTACTACATGTATAAAATTATATAAGATGGACCAAGAGAAATATATGTATAAGGGCTTTTAAAGTTGAAAGTTATATTGGAAGGTCATAGGGAAGGTGAAGGTCAAAAATAATTGCTCACCAGTTTGTTTCAATGTAAGTGCGTTTGCATTAATAAAGTTGATAATAATATTAAATAAAGAAAAACTAAAGAAAAGGTTAGAAAAGCTTAAATTAAAATTAGAAAAAACAAAGACTAAAATTTGAAAGGCCAACTTTCATCTTGGGTTTCCCAACTTTCAAGTTGGAATTTCCAACTTAAAAAAATAGTGGCACTAATACGCTTCCGTAAGGAAGAGTTTGAAGAGACGTGCAACCACGGATTTCTGTCCTCAAGAGATTTTTTTCTGAATTATATATATGCATGCATGTAGTGGGGGGGGGGCAATTTTTTTCCCCAAATTATAATTTTTTTTTACTGTTCATTTAGTATGAAAATGTTCACTGAAGAGTGGTTCCCCCCCCCCCCCCGGCCCCTTTTTGTAGCAGCATAGTCAGATTCTCCCATGGTTATGACAAAAAAGTTGTAACCCCCCCCCCCCCCCGAAAAAGAATTGTCGTGTTTGGAAATTGTCATTTATTCCACCCCCTTACTTTCAAAAACCAGGCTACGTGCCTGATATATATTATGCAAACTGAAAATTGATTATACTGAAGAAAAAGATTCAACGACCAAAGAGTTACAAGAGACATTGTTCAAAGCAAGCTCTCATTAACCTGTTATTTTGAAGAAAAAACTTTAATAAATTAAAATTTAAAAAAAAAAAGCATTGGCTTGATGTACAAACAAAACAATTTAAAGAGTTTATGATTCATAATGTACATATAAAACAGCATCAGAAAAGATCATTGATTTCATACTCAATGACATTTCCAAGGTCATATATTTTGCTGTAAACAAGCATTGTGTTCTCTTTCATCTTGGAATGTAGAGAAATAAAAATAATATATTGATTATTCAAAGTAACGTAAAATTATGTCATACAATTCGAACATGTTTATGATCTGATTTTGAAACTTGTAAATCTGCTTGTAAGATTTTCACAATGTCATGTCGACCTATATGACTAAGTCCCTTCATTAGTATGCCCACAGTTGTGTTCCGTTTACTGTGCGACCAAGTCTGCAGCATCATCTGACAACAATGTAAACTATCTCCAGCACACGATTCTAACTGGTCAATCTTCGCAGACGTGTATCCTAAAAAAAAAAGATTAAAGTTGCAAATAGGAAAGAATTCCAAAACATTCTATTTCAATTTATCTATTTTGGGGAACTCCATAAGTTAATAAATTTTTGTATTGAACATACGAATCCTAGTTAAAATAAAAGACTCCTAAAAGAAAAATGGGTTATCCCCCTTTTGCAAATTATTCAGGTCATCGCATGAAGTTGATGACTAAACGATTTCAAAGTTATTTAAAAAATTGACCTCTCATATCATGATTAATCTCATTGCCTATATTGACATTGACCCTTGAAATATGACCCTGACTCAAAATCAGAACACATTTTAATGTCATTGGCAACAGTTGCTAAACTTTAAATCCATTTAAAAAAAAAATCATCGCGCAATGACCCTTGTCGTTTAGATACTAGTATGGCCTTGACGTAAGGTCTTGACATATCTCTAAGTCACCATACCAGCTTTAGATTCTTGTAGCTGCCATTGGATAAGCTTTAAATTCGCTAAATCAGCAAAGCACTTTGATTTGTATAGATATATTAATCAAAATAATTTTCGAAGTACTTATATAAAGCTTTTCAATAATATTCCTGTGCACATCAATGTTATTACTAAGCATGCACCAATAAAGGACCATATCTCATGTCCTGACGCTTTTGATTCGTCTGCTAGCATTCATCTGTGTTTATTTAGCTCTTGTTCGATGTACAATGTAAAAAGGAGATTAAAAGAACAAAAAAGAGTGCAATGAGCTTTATACCGAGAATTTGTGCCAGGGCTCTCCAGTCGCTTGGATTTCCGCGGCGGCTAACTAACTGATGCTCCACGCACTTTCTCTTTGATATAGGAAGATCTTTGTACTTTGTGAGCTCATTATCTGAGAAACAAAATTTGTTCATTTGTAAAACCACGTGTTGAAATGACAATATGTTTTTTGCATTCGAAACTTTATAACTGATCATTAATCAAAGGGAAATTTTGAACACCTTTTCAAAATTTGTTGAAGAATTGTGTCTACTAAGAAAATGTCCTCTTTGATACAGATCTTTGTACCCGTGAGCTCTTTAACCAAGAAACAAAATTCCTGTTCTTATTTAAGCCAGATTTTCAGCTAACAATATGTTTTTTTCTTGGCAATTGTAAATAAGTATAATTTGCCTATTGGCTTTTTCTAACTCATTTTGTATTTGTTTTGTTTCCGTTTTATTGTTTTTACCGATTTCGCTAAAGAAAAAAAAATTCCACTTTCATATACACATCTTTGAACTTGTGAGCTCAAATGAAAACGGACTTTGTTCATATTTAAAGTTACATGATAAAATGACCATATTTAAAACTACATGTTAAAATGAAAATTTCATTTTTGCATTTGGAAATGAATATTATTTTTTAAAAATTGTCAGTTTTTAAGCCATCTTGTTATTGGAAGTTCCGTTTCCGTTTCAATGGTATAAATGTTCAACTGGAACATTCCAATGAACACCTTTTTTTCCCTAATTTTTCTAAAAGTGGCATTTAAAAATTAATGTTCAGTTCAAAAAGCACTAATTACATGTATCTAAAACATTTCATGTCCCTTAAGTATAAAAAAATTATTTACGGTGATTAACATTTGGAGCTAATGATTATCAGCCACTTGCATATACTAAAATTTTAACAAAAAAAATATTTAATCCTGTTTCACATTATTACTTCGATCCCCAAGCAAAAAAAAAAAAAAAACAAAAAAAAAAAACAAAAAAAAAAAAAAGATGTAACTGTAAATCAAAGACCAGGAGATCTTTGTACGAGGTTTCGTTATTTTACATTCATTTATTCTAAAGATGTCTGAATCCTTGTCAATCGGAATCCAACTGGCCATGTATTTTATACTACGAGAAAAAGACAATTTGTAATCATATGTTCAAAAGTTTGTTGTTTTTTTTACTGTCAATGAAGACAATTAGAGAAGTCAACTTTTGGCAACATTAGGCTGAAACATAAGGTCAACACAGGGTACTTCTTATCAATGAAAACGGTCACTGTCAAAGAGCTATAGATACAGCTTAAAACTGTAAGGCATAATTTATATGTTTTGTTGTTTATAGGACAAATATTGTAAAAACAGCTTTCAAAGACATTTATGAGTTGATGAGACGTAGATTTCACGTAACTTTTTCAAAACAAAAAAAAAGGCTTACATGTTTTACATTGCATGGTGAAATCAACGCACACACCGCTGTCTGTACCACCGGAAGCTCGGGCATATTCCACATGATCGTGCGGATCATGAATTTGGTGGCGTTTTTTGTCTTTGAGTCTGGAATACTGTTTGAAGAATACATAACCAAGGAGACCTAAAACTACCGCTCCTAGAGCTGCGCAGTAAATTGGAATGGCGTCAAATTCGTCCTCTTTGATGGTTTTACTTGGTGGCTGTTGTGTTAGTTTTGTCGTTAGGAACGCTGTTGGTTTATCTTAATTAAGATAAAGAAAAAAAGATTATTCATGATTATCAATGGTCGTTTCATGTAAGAATACTTAAAATGCTTTTTTATAGAAAGCGACAAATGTATCAAAAATGGCGAGTTAAACTTATCCAATGTTCAAAACTTATGTTTCTCCAGTTTTGAGGCAAGGCGTCAAATTAAGATATGTTTCAATTATCCTAATTATTTGTGCAAGAAGAGCTGACGACCTGCAAATGCAATTAGGGTGCAATAACGTTGCCACTTTTCACTAGAATACATACATATAAAATTGCGCATCAGAAGAAAAAAATTAAAGCACTTCTCGACTGTTCATAATTTTACTGGTCTTTTTCATAAAGACATTAACAAACAAGAAAAGTGTCTATATGTTTTCAAAAATAAACAGGGGTTTAACCTGCAAATAAATTTGGTTTCTTCAATGTTCAAATGTCAAAAAAATTCAAAGATATTTCAGTCACAAAGAAAATTTGTTATCTTTGTCGAGTAAACTATTTTGCTTCAAGATTATTTCCATGCACATTATGAAATCTGTTCCCATCAATATTACAGATATAAACTGGTGATTTCATCGAAAAGAGGATTCATGTCCAAAAGAAATGTTTCGATGGCTTTCTTAAAACGGGGTTGTGTTCATTCTAGGTTCTTTTTACTAAAATAACTGGTCGGCAAAATGTTAAATGGAAGAAACAAGGTCTCCTTCCGGAATTTCCCATCATAAAACATTTTCAGCATGTAGATGAAAGCGCAAATTAAAATTCTTAAGAAGGCTGGGCTGTGATGGCCATTTTATGCAATTTAAATCTCCTACAAAAGAAGACCTCTGTATAAAAATAAACTTGCATTAAATTATGTGGTATTTGTTTTTTCTTTACTAAATAATAGCTTATTTCTAGAGAATTATATTTCATATTCTTAGGTGGATCTGTTGTACATGTATAATTTGTTGACCACCCAGACCACCTAGTATAAGATCTATTTTTGTTTCGTCTAGTTCTTATTCTGGTGGTTAGGATGAACATATTATTGTTTTACTTGTAAATTTATTGTTTATTCATGAATTTAATTCTTATTCTTTCATTTATTCATTTGGTTGGTTGTTTGGGGGGGGGGGGGGTTACATGTATATTTATTTTCAGCATCTATCAGTATTTGCCCTATACTTACAGCCGAACAATTTTAGTATTTTACCATTTTAGTATTTTAATGGTATTTTCTGATATTAAAAAAAAAAATGATTTTCTGATATTAGAAAATAGATTTCTTATATAAAAAAGAATAATCGAGATTTTTATATCGAAAATTCGAATTTCTGATATCAAAAGATCATTTTTTTTCCATAAAAAATTCGAATTTCTTATATTCAAAAAATCATTAAGTGTGATAGATATTCAGCTGGATTTTTTAATATAAAAAATCTATTTTTTTTTATATCAGAAATTCAACAAATAATACTATTTTTTGGCTGATAGAGAGAGTTCTTCCCAAAATTGTCTCCGCCGTGTTCAGGCATTGTAAATGCATGCATGAATACGTGCATTTATTTTCTGCATCTACAGTAAACGCTGCATTTGGGATCGGTTTTTAATGATGACACTAAAACGCGTGAGCCATAGACCTATTTGCTTTATAGGTCTATAAGTAAAATAAACATTGATACGGGCATAGACATTACATTAGGTCTATGAGAAACATCCAAAGGAGCATTCATTTTAGTTAGTTCCATTTAGGTTACTTATAATTTTTGATATCAAGAAATTAATGTTTTGATATTAAAAAAAAAACTGAAGCATTTTTCTAATATCAAAATTCATGTTCTGATATAAAATCGATTTTTTTTATATCAGATATTGTTTTTTTAATATCAAAAATCGTTTTTTTTTTATATCAGAAAATATACTTTAATTTTTGATATCAGAAAATCGATTGTTTGATATAAGAAAATGAATTTCTAAATCCAAAAATCTAATTTTATATCAAGAACTCTTTTTTGATATCAATATTTTTTATATCAAGAATTCTAATAATTGATATTAAGGTATCTCGTTTAATATCGGAAAAATACCTCAAAAATACTAAAATATAACCTCTAAATAAGTTCACCAGTGGCATGGTTCAAGAGTTATAGTCGGGACACGGTTATATATAAGCTACTAGTCGACAGACAGACAAACAAACTCGCAAAATTTTTTGTTAAAGACAGAAATGATTTATTTCAAGTGCTGACCATAATTATATTGTTTTGTGATGAATATAACATTATTCAAAAATCATATGCGATGAATGAAAGACAGCTTTAAACCTACTTGAGATTATTGCAGTGTTGGATTTTAGCAAACTAGTTCGTGATTTATATCAGGATTAAAAAAAATAACCCGTCTGAGTCCAAAAGTAACTTTAAGTATTCTATATTTTTGAGGATGAATCCGCAGTCTTTTGTTATGTCGCTCGTTGACAAATGTGACGCACATTAAATCAGTTAATTGGGCCAAGAAGAAATCAGACAAGGGTTTTAGTAATTTTAACACGTATACATTTTGTACCTTATAACATGTCTCCAAAAAGTGTCATTTAGGGTGCTTGAACTTTTTATTGAAAGTCTTTTTTGAGCCAAACAAGGATCTTGCTCCAGTCTTTTATTGTTTTTTACATTACTGTATTTTTATTGGATATTCATACATCACGCTATCTCATAACCATCAAGGCGGCTTAAGAAAATTGATACAAAAATAAAAATGTACAGAGGAAGTCAATATGAATTCGGGCGACGTTAAACTATTTTCACCGCATCAAAAATAATCATATGTGTATGTACGGAGTGGAGATTTTATTCACAAGTGGCCCGTGGGCCTTGACTGTTACCTGAGTATTACATGAGTGAGTTTCTCATGACCAACCCGGGCTAAATGTTAATTATAATCATGAAAACATTTACTTTGTTAATTGTCTATTTGTTCAACTAGATATCCATGAGTGAAGAAAAAGCTTTTCAAATGTGTAATGCAGTTTAAATATTAGTATATGATGAACTCAGCTCCATCCGAGGCCTACTGGTGATTATGAATTTCACAAAATTGGTAGTGGGCTTAGTGCTTATTGGAATCGTAAAACAGTTTTACTATTTGATATCCAAGAGTAAAAAATATAAGATCGTTTTGTCCTCAACACCCAGGCCTCAGAAGGACAAGAAAATTGATAAAAAAGTGAGACACTGGTGCCCCCTAATGGCAGCTCATGGCGAAGGTTAGTTTTTGTCAAATGCAAGTCAAACTCCAAGATTAAGGTCAAGAGATAAATAATGTTGGTATCTAAAGAAAAGTCTTGTGAAAAGGACAAAACCTGTGAAATCTGAGAGCCCTTGTAGCAATCATTCAGAAAATATGATCAAGGTAGGTTCAAGTATTTTTTCAAGAAATGGTGAAAGTCCATGGTCAAGGTCAAAAGGTGGGAATAGTTGGTATCCAAAAAAAGTTTTTGTCACAAGGAAAAAATATGTGAAATATAAAAACCCTAGCAGCACCAATTTAAAGTTATGACCAAGGTGGTTAAAATATTTCAAAAGAAGGTCAAACTCCAAGGTCAAGTTCAAAATTGTTGGTACCCAAGGAAAGGATATGTCACAAGGAATACACTGGTGAAACATGAAAGCCCTAGCTCTAACCATTCAAAACATATATCCAAGGTTAATGTTTTTCAAAAGTAAATCAACTCAAAGGTCAAGGTCAAAAATATTTATACCCAAGGAAAGTTTTTATCACAAGGAATATACATGTGAAGTATGAAAGCCCTAACTCGAACCGTTCAAAAGTTAAAGTTTGGTAAAATTTTGCAAAAGTGGGTCACACTCTAAGGTCAAGGTCAAGAGATTAAATATCGTGGTACCCAAAAAAGGGTCTCGTCACAAGATATACACATTTGAAGTATGAAAGCCCTAGCTCCAACTTATCAAAAAATTTATGGGCAAGGGGCATAAAAAAAACCCAAACCAAAACAAAACCAAAAAAAAAAAAAAAAAAAAACAAACAAACAAGCATAAAAAAAAAAACACTAAAAGGGAATGTTTCCCTTTGTACATATAAGCTTTATCCCAAAATTGGTTGAAATTGGTCAAGGCAGTTCAGAGAATCAAAAGTTTAACGATTAACGACGACTAGGAAGAACAGACAGCAATAGGTCACCTACTAACTGGGGTGACATGAAACTAAAGTACACGGGCTTTGCAAAATGATGCTCGATCCAAGAATTCAGAGAGACTATCTAAATACCGTCTAGATTTTGCGATATTTGGTAAATGTTTGGCATTTTTATGTTTTAAAGCTAATGCATTTATGCATTGCTTTTAATACACAATATTGGAGGTTTGCTTGAGGATATCGTTTTAAGTATTTCCTCTCTTTTTCTGGAGAAATGGTTGAAATGGTAATTTAGAAACCATGTATGAATCTGGGATAAATATTAAATGGTTATTACTATACAAAAAAAGAGGCCCATGGACCACAACGCTCACTTGAATCATTATGGCCCTGCTTTTCTATTCCCTCTATATTCTTTTCAAAACTTTGATTGTCTGTTGTGGCCCCTCCCTACCCCTGGGGGTCATAATTTGAACGAACTTAAATCTACTCTATCTGAGGATGCTTCCATATTAATAATCATGCCTTTGTTGCTCTTAAGAAGATTATTGAAGATTTGTAATGAAGCTTTCAAATAAGCTTCAACTCTTGGTCCAGTGGAATTAGTATTTGAGAAGATTCCTAAGCAGTTTTCCAATATATTCCTATGTAAAACTTGGTTGCCCATTGAGTCCCTACCCTACCCCGGGGGTCATGATTGAAGAAACATGTATCTAACCTATGCAATGAAGCTTTACACTATGCAATGAAGCTTTCATATGTTTCATCTTTTCTAGCCCAGTGGTTCTTGAGAAGAAGATTTTTTTTCAAAAATGCCATTAAATGTTTACTAATTCTTATTTGTCTCCCTAAGAAAGAAGGCGTGGCCCTTCATTTCAACAAACTAAAATCTTCCTTCAAAGATACTTTGTGGTGAGTTTGGTTAAAACTGACCCAGCGGTTCTGAAGAAGATGAAAATGTGAAAAGTTTATAATGATCACGACGACTTTCGATCAGAGAAGCTCACCTGAGCCCTCGGCTCAGATGAGTTAAAACTATCAAAAATAAAATATACTGCATCTTTGAAAATGTTTGAGCAAAGAGGACTGTGGCCCAACTATTCAGAAATATTCAAAGTTTACATAATAGTTATGATAGTTTCTTTCCATTTATCTGAAGGATGGAGTAAAAACACAATATTCTACGTCCCAAAAACAGGACACTGTTTCATTTCACATCTTTTCTAATTAGGATTCAAATTCTTTTATGTTTTTACTCTTTTTGGTAAAAATATCGTATTCTCATATACAACAGTGTCGTACCCTGCCGTTGCGTTTTGATGCAGTGACTATGATTTTCTAATCTTCGTCTTCTGGAATGTGAGACAAATAAGGTACTATACAAACTAATTTAATATTTTAAAAAAATGGTGAAAGTTACTCAGTATTAAAAAATTAATAATCTGTACACATAGTCACAAAACAGCTATTTCTTGTCATCCAATATTCCCCAAAAGTTTCCTCATACGAGTTTATGGGTACGTTTGTGTGTGTGCGTGTGCTTTTGCATTGGCTTGCAATGTTTGGGAACACTTTAACAAAATCTAAGATCCACCTCAGAGGTTCAGGAACTCTTTCCGGAGGTCGGATACTGTTCGATTTATATTTTATTGATTAATTGTGTTCAGCGATTTCTTCATTAAAAATTCAAAATCTTCGTCTGCACTTTCTTGCAAAAAATTTATTAACTATCATGGTGATTCGGTTGAGACATAACATAAATAGGCATTCGTGACTTTATCCATCAAACTTCTAACCAGCAAAAGCTTTCACAACAAACACTTTGACTACGCTGTTAATCTGGTTTTATCCCTGATCAACTTCGTGTTTTCTACATCTTAAAAAGAAAACATGAAAAGGGGTAACGTATTTTATATATCGGGGTTTGTCGTAACCGTCCGATATTATCGTTCCTTCATCTTTTGTAGTCCTATGGTGGAGGCATGCAGTTGTCGGAGCCATAAAGCGATAAAATAAAAACCCTGTATACATAATTCAAACAATCTGAAATCAAAAAGACGATTTTACAGCTAGTATCATCTGTGGTTCCTTTATACTGAATATAGTCCTTGAGTCAGGCAGACTTCCGCTGACTTTACACTCCCGAGAGAATCCGAGGTTTTTCCCCTCTTCATATACAATATTAAGATTTTTTTTTTGAAAATACAAAGTATAATTAATGTCAATACTTTATTCGATTAGGAAAATATACCTATATGCAATTCGAAGGAAAATAACACTGTATATACATGACTGTAGTTTCCAAGCCTGAGGAATGAAGAGGAGTTTGGTCCACAGTGTACCAAAATTTCCGAATTTTGCAGAATTCATTAAACTCCAGCCATAGTTATTTGCATAACCTTTCGGGTTATGACGAAACTCTTGATTCAGAGAGAAAAAACAAACAAACAAACAGGACAAATGTTACTTTAACCCCCTTCACATTACATGCACCTTTAGTTGACTATCTTCTCAAGGTTTGATCGGTTAAACATGATGACGACAAGAGAGACAAAATCATGTATAAAATTCCAATATTACGATAGATCAATGTCCTGTTTATGTAGATCAAAAAATTAAAACGAATGCAGTAACTGCGTTTGATGTTGGTAAACGCGGCGTTAAATTGATTTAAGTAATGGCTTAAAGGAAATTCGAATACTTCTATCTCGGGTTTTATTGCATTGCTATATCACATTGAGAGACTTTTTTTATCGATGTAAAATAAGTACATATATATTCCAAACATCAGCCTTTAAAATCTCACGAGATTTTAGATTGTGATTGATCTTTAAAAAAAAAAAGATGAAAAGGACAAATTCGACACAGCCGATCTGGTGTCGAGGTAGTGTTTTGACGCGTCGAGGTGTCTTTGCAATCACGGCAATAGGAGAGAAATTAACACCATGTTGACAAATTGACGGTTACAGAAAACTTCATACATCGTACGGAGTCTTTCTCTCTCTCTCGTTAGAAAATAAACTCAATGTACTTTATATTTTGGGATAATGAAAACTTCTGTCCGATTTAGATATTCTTCAATCTTTGATGTATAATTCAACAGGTTTAAATTCTATCCAAGTTAGTCTAGTAATTTCTAAATCAATCAATATATACTTAACAATTAAATACAACTTGAAGCTTTATAAAGATAAAAACACAAAACTACCATATGTCATTTAAAATAAATATCTAGTTTCAAACATGTGTGAGAATACGGAACGAAGCCGGATATTTGTAGAATACGTCAGCTGCTTCAGCTGTCAAATTTATTTATAAATTTTAGATGAAATCTCTTTTGAAGTGCCCAGACGTTATTGATTTTAATTCCAAAGAACAATCACTGTGATAACGACGTATGCCACTGTTTCAGTACATAATAACAAGGATGGTATATATATATCATACATATTCAGGAGCCGAGTCAGAAATTTCAGGGGAAAAAAGGGGTGCAGAGAGAGAGAGAAAAAATGCCGACCCTCCTCTCTCTTGATAATTAAGGGGGATATCAGGAATGATCTGATCTGATTTAAGTTTTTTAAAGGTTCCATGCAATGCTAAATGATATCTTTCTTTCTTTTTTTTTTAAATTAATCAATACTTTATTATGTAAAGACTCTTTACATAAAACATCTTCCCTATATATATAATGTCAGAAGTTTTGCAACTACAGAAATTTCTATTATGGAAGAGGGGCTTAACAAAAGCTGTTAATCATTGAATATGTTACCTTGTATAAAGGTCATTCCATTTTTTTTTCTACGTTTAGTTTCCATCTATCATTCAGGAACCTATATCTACATGTAGGTCCTACATGTACCTACATGTATTAAAAAAATCCAAATTTAAATTCATAAAAGCGATTTCAACATTCCTTATTCCATTTTTCTTGTAGAAAGATATATATTTTTATGCAAAATCAAGGTATTAAATACCAACTGTTTACCCAATTTGAGAGATTCTCGACAAAAGTGGGATCAAAAAGGTGAAGATAACGAACAGTGGTCAATCTCAAAACTCTTTTAAATAAAAAAAAAAGTACAATTTGTGAACAGGGCATAAAACACGGACCCCTGGAAACTCCAGGGGTGGGATCAGGTCCCTAGGAGGGAGTAAGCATCCCCTGTTGACCGGTCACACCCGCCGTGAACGTTATGTAATCATCAGGTAGATCGAGTATTCCGTAGTTAAATTTAGCATAAAACATTGACCTAACAATATGTATGAAATGTGTCAGTCAAAATACGACCCATTGATAGATTGTATTTGCAAACGATCATTAAAACAACCATAATTTTTTTTTGGAAATGCTGACTTTAAACATGATTGTTGAAATCCCTGTAAAATCAACTTATTTATCAGTAGCCTGCCTCGGTCTAAAAATTGATCGTACTCAGAGCATGCTCTTGCGTATCAAAGAAGTTGGGAGATATAAACACAATAAGCAGGTGATGCTGGGATATTACTTCATAAATAAGGAAAGTTGACAATGGAAAAGTTGAAATGGTCTCTTTTGTCATAAAATTTAGTTGTTAGCTGGCCATTATCGTCTCTAGTCAGTAAAACATCCAAATATGAAACAGCTGTGACAGACTCCGTGGTGTCTTTTATTTCGAGCTCACTGGGATATATCGAGTCGACATATGAATGAAAGTAACTGTGGTTAATTGAAAAAGGAATTGACAGAATTCAAAATGTTTCAACCCAAAAAAAATCGATTTCTGGACTGCTGTTTTATGTGTCTGTTTTCTGATCAGGGTGTATCATTAACCACGTGGACGCGGATACTAACCATCGAAAAAACTTGGGATTGCCTAATAACACAATGAATGCAGTGGACTTCGGTAATTCTTTTATACATCATCAGGAGATTTCATATAAATTAGTGGTTGCTACATGTGGGGCTGCACAACAAATGAAAAGGACACGCCCGCCTCTGTGAAATGCAGACGCGAGGGTATCTTGGTAGGGGAGGGAGGGTGGTTAGTAGGTTGGGTACCTACCTAAACACATGGTGTCCTGCTCATCTGTACACTCCATTATTGTGAACTGGGTGGGTCTACAGACGGAACATGGTCTACACCGAGAGGTGGCGCTCTTGACATCGGAGAAAGTACCATTTTCACATTTCCTACATATGGTGTTAGAGTCAGTGCTACAAGCGACTATGGCACCCCATCCATATGGACACAAGTCACAAAGTTGGCATTTCTTTACTTCTTCTGCAAAATAGAAGTCTAATGGACACCCACACACGGTATCATGCGTGGTATTGCACGGCAAAATTTCTCGTTCCATCTCCCTGCAAGATTTACATTTCTTACAGGGTAATGTGTCGTATTTTGATGAAGAAAACGTTTTTCTATGTTCACAAGGCTGACATTTTGTGTCTGTTTCGTTTGTACATTTCTCGATTTCTCCATGGCCCGGTGGACATAAGCTGCAGCACTTTGATATATCGCTGGAGGAGTTCGATGTGCAATCCTCGTAAGAAAGGCTCCCCATGATGCATATCTGTGAAATTATTTTTTAAAGACATTAGAGACGTTTAGGGAGGGTGAGGGAAAATCATTTTATAATATAAACATTTTTTGCTGGTTGTAAATGTGACACTTGGAATTAAGTTCTGGAAAACGTACGCATGAGAGACGGAGAGAGGGAGAAAGAGAGAGAGAGGGGGGGGGGAATGAAATATATAATAAATCGTCTTTTAATTTGACTTCTAACTTTAAATATAATCAAATGAAAAATTAAAAATCCACTTTCGTCACTTTATATTATACATAGGTATTGTTTTTTTTTTCTCCTGATTTAACTTGCGCTTGGATTTAAAATTAAAAAATTGCAGCATTGAATAAAAAACAAAGACCTCTCATACCAAAGCACATAAAGACATTAACCGCATTTAAACGACCTCATGGGTGGATGACCATAAGTATATATTCCAAAAAACTTCCTCACATAAAACACTCTGATAAAAAGAGGGTGAAAGAAAATTACTTTATTGATAGGCATTTAATTTTTAATTTCTCATGGAATTTCTTCTTTTGTCGAAATTAATATTTCATCACGCAACATGAAACATCACAAGGGGCTGGCGTGCATAATTATCACCTTTCATTAGCTCGTCTTCCAAAGCTGTGATCGGGAAAGCATAGTAAAGGTATCCCAGGTGTAATGTTTCTAATTTAACATCAAAGCCAACCGCTCAGGTAAATTATACAACACACAAGGATCGCAAAACAATTGATCAATATTTACTTTGTAGCGGAGGCACATTTTTCTTTCGCTGAAAGAGTTGAGATATAAAGTTCGTTCGATCTATATTGCTCGTCTGTCATCGCGTTCGGTTAGAAGTTGTGATGCACCGGCATGATTAACACTATATAGATTTATCTATCTTTTCTATGTGTGATTATCATTGAGTTCTCATCATCAAAAGTACCCTAATCAGAATATGGGAAATAAAACCAAGTAAACCCGGATAAGTCAATGCAGTTATGAAAAAACGATTTCCATTCTAGGTCTTAACCAGCAAATTATAACTGTATAGTTAGTCATGTTTAAATTAAAAGCGGGAAGTTACCAGTTATGGATACAAATGGGTTTTATTTAAACTACGTAATGTATTACATAATAAGGTCGTCGAATAAATGACACTCTTGTTGAACTAGAAATTTTCAGAAACTCAGAAAAAAAGTGTGTGTTATTTCTTTCTCTTTACTAAAGTTTGCCATTTGAACCTGCTTTTTTCCTCAACACTTTAAAGATTTTTTCTTAATCTGTAATTAAAAAAAAAATCCTTGTTAGATCCACCCACCCTTTTCAACACGCTATATTGGTTTCTTGAAGTTTCAGATTTAGTTGTAAGTTGTGAAGGAAATTTACATACAGTTACACACAATCGCGAATATAGGCACACCTACATCTTCGGAAAATAAAAGAGCAGAGGAAATTAAATGGTCAAGTTTTATGAGAATTGTCTTATTTAATGGCCATTATTGGCTACAAGTAGAAAAGCCAGCGATTGATAAACATTCCCTTAAAATGTGCCGATACGAAAGTGGGTGGCGGATCAAGCATTCGATTTTCATTTAGGCATTTACGAAATATCAAAATTAAGTATATTATATTATTTGACATAATATTATTACATTTATCTTAATATCCATAACATTATATTTCACATTCAAAACGTTTCTGCTATCTGCAAGGGAGAGAGAAAGAACCGCGAAAAAAAGAAAATATTTTATATTTCAAAAATATATTATATATACTATATAGATGTACGTGTAATCATATAAAGTTCTTATATGAATGAAAATAAAGAAACAAAACCTTACCAAAATGGAAAAGAGGATGATATACATGTATCCCATGTCTAAGATGCGATCAGTCACTATACGATGTTCACTGCAGCTCTCACTCTAATATGATCTGATCAATTCTGCACGCGTCTGACGATGTAATTCAACTAGGTGACAAATTTAATTCTGATTTACAAAATATCTCGATGTAAAAAGATCAAAACTACATAATATACCCAGCGGCTATTAAGATATCGTAAGACGAAGGAACGTGTGAAATCTTTTTGTTCGGGTTAAAAATGAGAGTTAATTGCATTACAGATGGTGAAAATTATATCTGTTCATTTTGATACGTATAAAAGTGATACGCACCCTTTCTTCTTTCGGAATCCCGACAAAATTCAAAATTTGGCAATTATCAATTATATCTGAATTGAAACAAAGGCAGTAAAAGGAATGATCGGGTGTGACTGCCAGATGTCCAACCATTATCCATGGCCTAAGGAATAATTAATAAATCCGACAAGTTTACACGCCGATAAAAATTCCATCTAAGTTTCTGAGCAGGTATTAAAAGTTTGCGTAAATGCGAGGTTTTTTTTTTTTAATGTGTGCAAGTCAGAGAGGGGGGTTTATAAATAAATAGACATCACAAACACGCAATAGGGCCCTTGCGCGTAATTACAGGTTGCTTATAATATCCAATGCATTTTTGTCCCTCAGAACTCCACAGCGCTATGTTGTGTGATCGTTTTCCGCTTGCAGAGTCAAAGAATTTTTCTCACTGCCATAAAAACCAACTCCAAAGCTATCTCTCCAATTGAATCGTACACGTTAATAAACAGACACGGTTAAGTTCACAAGACAAATTAAATGCCACCATCTTTAACATTTATTTTATTTCGATATAATTTTTGTCCTCTTCTTCACAAGTGGTTGAATCCTATTAACTTTTTTCCTCTTTTCTAAATCTCCTGTTTACCAAGTTAAAATAACATAAAACAGAGAGAGAGAGAGATTCCTAAAGCCTTTACAGATGAATGTAGACCAGAATTATCTTTTTAGATCCACCCATCGTATCAAAAAATATTTTGTCTCCATGTCATTTTAAAGTTTAAGTTGGTTGTGAAGAGTCTATAAACTTTTTTTTAGTATACACAAAGATTTTTGTTTGTTTGTTTGTTTTTTATTTGAAGGAAATTTCAGATTGGTTAATCGGAACAATACGCCAGGTGCCAATGTAAACTGCAAGATGCAAAAGCGGGTTTTAACTTTAATGGGAAAATAAAATTTATGCCATCACCTTTTACTGCGGATTAATTTTATATGATAATTTGTCTTTTTTATGTGTCATAAATGGATGTTTTTAACTAGTGTTTTGCAGATATATCAAAATCAATTCATCCTCATTACCAAAACCCAATTTATTGGATATGAAGTAGGTGTCATTTTTTTTAAATTGAGTTACGAGCATTATTTAAATACTTTTCCTGAGTATATATATATATATATATATATATATATATATATATATATATATATATATATATATATATATATATATATATATATATATATATATATATATATTTATATATATATATATATATATATATCTATATATATATATAAAATTGAAACACAACTTCTTTTACTGGAAGTGTTATGGTCTCTTACTTTGCATATATTTTGAAAAAAAAGAAAAGAAAAAAAAACACACTTGGCATGTATTTTTTTCCTTCTTAGCCAAAATTTTAGCAAATCTTTATAAAATAAAATTCAAAACTCATTGGAAAAAGAAAAATTACAGTAAATTCAAATTCACATGTACATTTTTTTTTGATTTTGTTTAAAAAAGGTTCATCACCCTCAGTTCACTCATATAAAATTTTGCTTTAAGGCTAACAATTTTCCAAAGAAAATTAAATTTATAATTAAAATGCATAAAATTTCAGCAAATTAGTACATTACAGAGCACAATTTTACAGAAATTGTCTTTTAAACTTTGTGACTAGTTACTTTAAATGAAACATCGGGGATTAATTTTTTGAAGATCGTCATCCTTACATCACAAAAGATTTGCTCTGGAGTTGGGCAATTTGATAACAACAATTTTGAAAAATATATTTTCATTGGCTGATTTATAATTACCCATTATGTCATGTGTAACCACAAGCCCAACTTGTAAATAACGACTTATGTCAAGGGTTTGTGTGGAGTTTCGAAATCACAAAACCTTGACATTGTGAGGATGAATTTAGCATTGAAATTGAAATGTTCTGAGAAAAAACATTTTTCTCACCTACCTACCAACCCATTTTTTTCATCCTGAGTTGGGAGGGGGCAAGCAAACATTATTCTAAACTTGGCCTTGTAATCTAAGTTTTATATTAAAGAAATACCTACATAGAAAAAAAAGCATCAAATTTTAGTTGTCTTTTCTTTTTTATTATTCTTGAGCATCTTAAAATACTCTATCAAAATGACATTATTATTCTCTACCAAAATAAACTTTTTCAATAACAAAATATTTAAAACTAATAATAATATAAATTAATATACATAATATAAAAGTTTTTCTCACAGCCTTTCAAAAATCAATCATCCAAATGTTTCACAAAATATTCCCCTGCACCACCAACACAGTTCTTCCACTGTGAATATAAAGGTACCAGGACCAAACACATTTGCATACATACAAACAATTGTAAATACAGCTGTACTTGTATCTAACATTTATCAAAGTGGACTTTCCTGCGCAGGGTAAACTGGGGTGCTGGGACCTGCTTATACATCCCTCCTTGATCATCACTGTAATGGAGATCACTTACTGCATTATTGACTTCAGTCAAAATGGACATCAGATCACAACTCCTGAAAAATAAAAACAACATACTTTTTTTTTTGAAGATAATGTCTGAAAACAGAAGGCAATGTTGTTCAAAGCAGCAATTTCTTCTCTCAATGAAGAAGTCAAATTTCTGTCAACAGCATTATGGTTATGTCCATGCAAATATATTTGTTTGAATCCTTACCAACAACATTACAATAAGTTCAAAGCTTAGTATTTATATGTTTATAAGGTTTCATAAATACTCATATAGATAAAACCCAGGCACTTGTGATCTGAATGAATTATCAGACTAAACATCCATATATATATATATACGCCATTTACATGTGCCTGTAAGCAAGTTTGGTTTGTACTAGATACATGACCTATATGGTGAAACAAACCAGTCTTTGAAAAAAATGTAGGTCAGATGCAGCATTAGAAGCATGCAGTAGATTAAGTATTCGTAAATGCTTTTGTGACAACCTGTGTGTTGTATACTAATTTCTGATCTTTACATAATTTGAATTTGTTATAAACATGTACATTGTATTTATTGTAAGCCTCTTTATTTTAAACATGATTCCTGTTGCTATCATTATCAAGGTAAATATATGTAAAGTACAGAAAAAAATAATGCAACATATAGGGAATTACTAAAATAAAGAAGTGGAAGTAATTCTGCATTCTCCTAGTTCATATTGTGCAATGACTCAGAAGTTTCTAAAGTAACATAGATAAACATACAAATCTTTTGATTTATCATTTGTAAACTCTAATTTACAAAGTAATTGTCTCACATAATTCTAATTTGCATTATTTATTATAAATTGTGCTGAACTTTGTGTTGCACCAGAATGTCTATGTTTACAATAAATAATTCAGTTACATGTATAGATAAAACACAACCCTCCAGCTTTTTAAGCTTTTTAGTTTTACTTAGAATTTAATTTAAGACTATGTAATAAAAGCAATATGCATATATGGTATAAAGTATAATTGAAGATTACTATCTTTGAATTACTGATACATATGATATACTACCTAAAATTATTGAACAAAATCTGTCATTTTCACCTTTGACCAAGAGCATGTTTCTTCAATTTCTCTACAAGTGTGTTGATGTAGAAGGATCCCGTAGACTTGCTTCTGTAGGACACATAACCTGGGACTGTGGCATATCCCAACAGGAAGTCAGACTCATCAGGAATCACACTGCGGGGAGGGGCAGACCTCTCCTCTTCTGGAGGTTCCTCAGACCTCGGGTGTTCATACTGTGTGTCTGTCTGTATGCCTGGATTTACAATTCTTGTGGTTCTTGTGTTATGTAAACCTGTAAAAAATGGAAACCAGGCATAATGTTTCATAACATTTTAGTAACAAGTACAACGAAGTATGAAATAAAATATTCTGTCATAAAAAAAAAGAGATTTTTCCCTTATAAGTGTTTGAGTTATTGGAAGAGAAAAGGGAGTCGAATCTGTTTTACAAATTGCATCCAAAATGAGATATTCTAATCCCTGGATAAAAATTTCAATAAAATTTTTTAATGTTTTATAGGGGAGGACATAATACACCCTACAGACTTCAATGTATGAAACATAAAAATCCGCATTAGATTACAAAGTTTCTAACAGACAAATGCTGCAATTCTATATAAATTCTATATAAAACAGGCTGGTATGTTAACTGAGAATACTTACAGCACAGGGACCTCATGTTATGATCTATCTTTCTTATAATAAAAAAAAATGTACCCTCTTCCAAATTATTAGGTAGGGGGTATATTTGTTTTATTTTAAGAAAAATAAATAACTTCAGGTGCCTTTAACTTATAGGTGATGGAAGAAATAAAATATAGTCAAACCTTGTTATATTAATCTTGATTGGACAGAGAAATAAAACTCCAAGATATCAGAGGATTCAGATGTTTACATAAAGAAAAAAGTGGGTGGGACTTCAATCCAACTTTGACATATATCCATGGTATATATAAGATGTACGAGAAACCAAAGTTCAAATGAAAATTCCTTCCATCTGATCACAAAATAATTTTAATCTCCCCTTATTCTTACCTGACTGGTGAACAAGTCCTTGACATGCTTGAAAAAAGAAAAGCTTTGGTTTATCAGCCAGAGTAGGGCACCTGGAGGCAGTAAAATATGAGGTTATATCTCGGATCGGAACACTTTGGCAGTCTGAACCATACACGGCTCCTGTTGTTCCATGGGAGAGAATGCACACAACTATGCTGTCATATTGGCTGTGGTCTTTTCTTGAATATTTCTGGCAGACTTCCCTGATTTGAACACAAGTGCAATTCCTGAATATCTTAACGTTAAAATCTAGGAAGGTTCCAAAAGTTTCTTCAAGTTTCTCTGTTCATAAATACAATTCACAAAATACAATTTTAATAAAATATCATCTACATGTATATAAAAGTGTAAAAGTGTAGCTGCAGAACTGTTTAAGAAAATTCAGAGAAGAAAACCAGAGAGCTGCAAATCCAAGCATTGTAAAAACTTTCGATTTAAGGAGCTGCTATTTTTGCTTGCTTTGAGTATAATTTCTTGTACAATGTATTATACGTGTTCCCCCACTCAAAGCATGGTATCTGTTCATTATCCGTAATTGTATTTAACTCTTAATCTTGTTACTTTTAATTATTTAACTTAAATGGTTCCAAACAGCTAACTATATATGTCCAAATTTTCTCAACCAGAGAGCTACAGTTCTGCAGCTACTAAAAGTGAATTGATCATCAGTTCTTTTAAAATAACATAAATTATATACTTTTGATACTATAATACTGATATTACAATAACTGTGCAATGATTTATATTTGTAGGGGTCAGTGTTCATTGGCCATACAAATTTTACTGATACATGGGGACAAAACTTCATGGGTAACTTGCATATATATACAGAAGATTCAATGAATATTTACATTTCCAAATACATATTACTTTGCAAAGTAGAAAAATTCATGTTATGAACTACCGTGAGATGAGTAGGAATATTTCCATTGTGATGTAATTGAAGTCAAAAAATAGTTTTTTTCAAAAATGATCATTGAATGACAAAATATGTGGCAAATCGTCAGAAAAATAATGTAAATATATAAAGATATGAATTTAATTTTTTGAGAATTCATGAGGTGTAGGAACTACAACCCTTCACGACTGCATATTTATCATGTAGCGCTAACGCGCTTCATGAAATATGCCGATGTGAAGCGTTGTAGTTCATGTCCTCATGAATTCTCAAAAATTAAATTCATTTCTTAAAATAATACAACTCCACATCTTCGCTAGCCAAGGGTTTCTGATCTCTCCTCACAAACATCTTCGCTAGCCAAGGGTTTCTGATCCGCTACTCTCCTCACAAACCCAAGGGATTATGAGGAGAGTAGCGGATCAGAAACCCTTGGCCAGTGAAGATGACAACTCCACTCTAATCTATTTTAATACTTCATTATATTTTACATTTAATATTTCAGTTTTCTAAATATGCTCATGGAAGCACTGTCTTTTTTTGTTGGGTATGCCAGGGACATGAACGATAGTTGGAAACATGGGATAATTTATGCATAACGGGGCAAAGCATTTATATGTGGAAAAAGTAAATATAAATCAACAAGAAGTCTGTGAGCCAATGCTCACTAATAATACCCCCGCTCTGATGTGAATACACAAGTTCATTTTTGGACAGACACAGGGATAAACAAGTTGACATCAGATTCATACAAAAATGAATCCCACCATATGACATGCCTAAACAATGAGTGTGCTAAACTTTCAAGCATCTGCAAAAAGTAGTTGCTGAGAAATCTGCAACCAAAATTTGTAATGTATGGTACGGACAGACGCACGGATAAACAGGAAGTTGACGTCAGATTCTCACAACAAGAGGCCCAAGGGCCTAAACGGTCACCTAAGTATAAAACAACAATCCATAGAAGTATAAAATAAACTGAAAGGAGCTTTTGTAAATCTTTGATCGTCCATTGTGGCCCCACCCTATCCCAAGAATCCAGAGTCATGATTTGAACAAACTTGAATCTATACTACCTGATGTTTCCATGTAAATAAAACCAATCATGGCTTTGCTGTTCTTGAGAAAAGAATTTTTTTCAAGATTTTCCCTATATATATTCCAATGTAAAACTTTCATTGTCCATTGTGGCCCACCCTACCCCTGGGGATCATGGTTTTAACAAACTTGAATCTACACTACCTGAAGATGTTTCCACATTTCATCTTTCTTGGCCCAGTGGTTCTGGAGAAGAAGATTTTTCCAATGTATTCCCATGTAAAACTTTGATCATCCATTGTGGCCCTGCCCTACCCCTGGGGGTCATGATTTGAACAAACTTGAATCTACACTACCTTAGGATGTTTCCAGATAAGTTTCATATTTCTTGGCCCAGTGATTCTGGAGAAGAAATTTTTTAAATATTTTTTCTATGTATTTCTATGTAAAACTTCGATCATATCAAAATGACTAATCATGGCTTTGCAGTTCTTGAGAAGAAATTTTCCTATATATTCCTATGTAAGACTTTGATCGTCCATTGTGGCCCCGCCCTACCCCCGGGGGTCATGATTTGAACAAACTTGAATCTACACTACCTGAGGATGCTTCCATATAAATATGACCAATCAGGGCTTTGCTGTTCCTGAGAAAAAGATTTTAAAAGATTTTTCCTATATATCTCTATGTAAAACTTTGATCATCCATTGTGGCCCCACCCTACCCCCGGGGGTCATCATTTGAACAAACTTGAATCTACACTACCTGAGGATGCTTCCATATAAATATGACTCATCATGACTTTGCTGTTCTTGAGAAGATTTTTAAAGATTTTTCCTATATATTTCTATGTAAACTTTGATCATCCATTGTGGCCCCACCTTACCCCAGGGGGTCATGATTTGAACAAACTTGAATCTACACAACCTGAGGATACTTCCATATGAATATGACTCATCAAGACTTTGCTGTTCTTGAGAAGAAGATTTTTAAAGATTTTTCCTATATATTTCTATGTAAACTTTGATCGTCCATTGTGGCCCTGCCCTACCCCCGGGGGTCATGATTTGAACAAACTTGAATCTACACTACCTGAGGATGCTTCCAAATAAATATGACCAATCTTGGCTTTACTGTTCTTAAGAAGAAGATTTTTAAAGATATTTTCCTATATATCTCTATGTAAAACTTTGATCGTCCATTGTGGCCCCACCCTACCCCTGGGGGTCATGATTTTAATAAACTTGAGTCTACACTACCTGATGATGTTTCCACATAAGTTTCATCTTACCTGGTCCAGTGGTTCTTGAGAAGAAGATTTTTAAAAGATACCATTAATTTTTCACTAATTCTTAATTATCTCCCCTTGGAAGAAGGCGTGGCCCTTCATTTGAACAAACTTGAATTATCTTTACCCAAGGATAGTTTGTGGCAAGTTTGGTGGAAATTGGCCCTGTGGTTCTTGAGAAGAAGTCGAAAATGTGAAAAGTTTACGCATGACGCACACCCGCACGCCTGCACGATGATGGACGAAAACAGATAGCAGTAGGTCACCTGAGTGACTCAGGTGACCTAAAAATAAATCCCACCATATGGCATGCCTAAACAAAGAGTGTGCTAAAATTTCAAGCATCTACAATGATTAGTTGCAGAGAAAACTGCGACCAAAATTTGTTATGTATGGTACGGACAGACGCACGGATAAACAGGAAGTTGATGTTGGATTCTCACAAAATATATCCCATCATATGGCATGCCTAAACAAAGAGTGTGCTAAAATTTCAAGCATCTACAATGAGTAATTGCTGAGAAAACTGCAACCAAAATTTGTTATGTATGGTACGGACAGACGCACGGATAAACAGGAAGTTGACGTCGGATTCTCACAAAAATGAATCCCACCATATGGCATGCCTAAACAAAGAGTGTGCTAAAATTTCAAGCATCAGCAATGAGTAATTGCTGAGAAAACTGCGACCAAAATTTGTTATGTATGGTACGGACAGACGCACGGATAAACAGGTTGATGTCGGATTCTCACAAAAATGAATCCCACCATATGGCATGCCTAAACAAAGAGTGTGCTAAAATTTCAAGCATCAGCGATGAGTAATTGCTGAGAAAACTGTGACCAAAATTTGTTATGGACAGAACGGACACACACACAGACAGACAGACACACAAGGGTAAAACAGTATACCCCCCTCTCCTTTGGAGCGGGGGTATAAAAATGTTGTCTAATAGAATTGAAATACACAAAGCATTCCATGCTAATTCCATAGTCCCCGCCCACTAACATTAGACAGAATTACAGCACCTTAGCTTTCAAAGTGTTATCAAAGAGAAAACAGTTGGAAATGTAAATGTATAAATATAATTGTAAATGGATGTTTTTTACAGTAAATCTTAAAAGTGTCACTTTTATAATAATTAAGTTCCATGTAAAACAGCTTACCTTCATCTATGTCCGTCCCTGCTCTCTCTCTCAGATCTGACTGTCCATGGAAGATTTTATTATTGATAATTATACAATAACCTGTTAAAGAAAAGAATGACATTCAATACATACCTTATCATTCGTCAGAAAATTTCTACACCGTAAGAAATGTTTATCAAAAACTTTACATGTTTACCATCTTTCTTTTAAATCTACATGTATACTGTAAAGCTATTTTTTAGGGAAGACTAATGGGATACTTTACAGTGATCAGTCATTTTTTGGCCTAATATATGTACATGTAATTGCAAAACTGTTTGTAGTTTGTTGCTGCACAAACACAACTAAGGTAGGTAACTCCTGTTATTTTCATATGACATCACAAAACTTCGAAATCCAAAATTTAACCTCATATTTCTCTCCAAATTCTAATAGATTTATAAGGGACACCATGGATAAAGTTACATAAAAATGAATAAGACTGGGTGATCAATACATGTATTAGCTCCCTGTGCAGTTATCATCTATTATGCTATATGGCTAACTTCTAATGTTAATACATAGCCAAATTGTCTGTCTGTTCTTTTTTGTAGCTTACCATCTTACAAAAACCTAATTACATGTAATTCTTTAGTACATACATGTTCTTTGCTTAAGCTTTTTTCTTTTTACTTTTTTTGCATATATACATTTTCCATTTTTTTTTCAGTATTTACATTTCATTTGCTTATTCACATGTTCAATTTTTTTTTCTCTACACTAATTCACAGAGTCAGGTCACACTCTACTACAAAAAAGTAAGAATGGATCTTAATCCTGTGCAATAAAGTCAAGCAGCCATACTTTTATCATGATGTACATATTCTAACCTCTGGGCTTTGATGTCATTTTGTAATAACTGAAACTCTCCAATGCTTCATTGTCTTCCTGGGGTGATTGAGCAGCTGACTGTTGCCTTGACAACAATGTATCCATGGCATCTTGTGCAGGAGGGTTCATGGAAGTAAGAGAAGGATAGGCAGCCATTTGTAAACCAGGTCCCTCTAAAGATGTGCATTATTAACATACAGGTAGTCAGAAAATCAATTTTCAACTGTATGTACAGAGTAGATAATTCAAATCTAGCAATCTAATGGAAACTGTATGTATCTATATTTATTCTGTAAAAGAGAAATACATCAGCATTTTTGCTCAGCAAAAAATCTAGGACTGAAATAAACCTGCATGTACAGTCTTGTAATAACATGTGACAAAAACTAACTAATAAGCACTTTCATAACACAGCATTGTTATGTACACTTTTAGCATTTACTGAGGGCAATTAAGGTACCTGACAGAGCAGTAAGGTTATGTGGTGGTTCCTGGTGTTCTTGTGGCACCACAGGGGTGGTGTCTGGGTGGTTGCTTATGTGTGAATTAAGTTTCATCCCTGGTACTTCGTCAGATGGACAGGCAACTGCAAAGAAATCAAATAATTTATACATGCATGTATTCAGTCTTAAGGTTCATTGATCATGTTGATACTCTGACAAGAGAGATAACTCTAACTGGTATACATGTAACTATTAAGTACTATTCCTTTATAGAAGTGTCAAGTTAATGGGCCATTTCTTTCAAATTTTGCCCTGCAAGATTTGCTGAAATTCATTTTAATTTTAAATTAAATTTCTTTTGGATGAACATAAACATTAAGGACAGATTTTATATGAATGGACAAATAATAGAAAATAGTTTAGGGCTTTTTGACAGTCTGATCTTAGTTATATTAAACTTAATAAACTCTATTTTCAAAATCAAATATAAATGCTGGAGGCTAGTCTATTACAGTAGAAACTGTACAGTCTTTTTTTCCACCTTGTATGGACTACTACCCCCTATCTATGTCTCCTATCACTTAAATTACCTCTAAATATAGTACAAAAATTGCCATATAGAACTCTGAATTGTTATAATACTAATGCCTATATTTCTTTTATACTGCTTAAATGTAGTAAAATATACCTAAATTTTTGTTTTTGTATTTGTAGAGAAGGTCCAATAATTCTTCATCTCCGGTTGCTTCAATGAGTTGCTCCATTGTTTTGACTTGAATTGGTGTTAACAGCTCCTCTTTCTCAAGAACATTGAACAAACTTAAACATGTTGTCACATTATTCAGCATTTTCTTGGTCATCTGCAGTGTTGTCCGTGAATAAAATTTCATGGCCTCAAATTCATCTTTGCCACAGTCCTCAGATATTTCAAAAAGTAAAATCCTGTAAATAAAATAATTAAGGGGGGAAATGTAACCTACGCCTGACATTTGCAACATCGTATGCAAGGTAAACAATTAAAGATTATTTCTAATGAAATATTACTTAGAATCAATAGATAGCTGTTGTTGTAGTATTACAACAAGACTTTTGGGAGACCAATAAACCTTCAACATCCCTCCTCCCTCAATTTTCTTTGTAACTGTCATTGCTTTCTATTGTATGTACATAGAAACTTCAGTATCTAAATCACCAATATCTCATGGATTAATCGATTATCACTTGGAAGTCCAAACCACTTTTTCTCTTAAATGTATTTTAACTTCAAAATCTTGAATGTTCTAATAAAATGAAGTATTGATTTTAAAATAACATGGTTTGACTTGTGTATATATGTAACACAAAATATAAAACAACCAAGATAACATAGGCCTGAATGAGTTGGTTGCTTTACCTAAATTCTGTTAGCTGACTAGGTCCATCAGCTTTTATCTTCTTCTCAAGCCTTTGTGGATCTCCACCCAGTTTTCTTATTAAATCTTTTCTTTGCATATAGTGGAAACATTCTTGTAAAAATATGGAGTCTTCCTCTTTTAGTTTCCCTTTTTGTTCTAAATTAACAAATACATCCAGACTCCTCCTGCATTTATCAAGAACACTGAATGGAACTATATCTTTACAAAGAAACTTGAGAAGTTCCAGGTCATTAGAATCCAAATGAGCATCAATATCTAGTAATGTTGCTCTGAAATCCCCTGATTGTGGCATCTTGGACGGTTCCCAGTCTTTGCTTTTACGTAGATTTTAGGATGTACTTCAGGTATAGGATGACCCATACAAAAATCCTTATTTGTTCACAACTCTAAAAAGATACAATCAATATGATAATGGTATTATTAGCATTATTAAAATAATATTCTAACAATGAATTTTTGAGTGAACACTAGCACTAAAAGATTCTGCCCGGAAAGGTAAAGTCATTGAACAAGTGGTGCATATATCAAACAGGCATTTTTATTTCATGGTTCCACCGTTGAAAGTGAAAGTAACGAAGTCACATAAAAGAATATGGATTGAGAGTATCTAACAGTGTCTTAAAATGATTTGAATATTTGTGTTATAAATGTAGTTATTACCAGGGATCCGTCAAATTCGTGTTATTTGTTATTTGCTAATAGTATCCCACGATAATAGGTAAATTGGCAATTCCCAATGTTTACACTTTTTAATGACGTCATTAGATTAGATGTCAAGTTGTACAATCTTATTTCATTTCCTTTCAAAAAATGCAAGCAAGCCCCTATTATTAAAAAAATAGACATTAGTCGTGTAAAGGCCGAAGAACGTAGTTAATTGTAATCACTTTTGATATTTTCTAATTTCAAATGAGTAAAACAGAAATAATTTTTCTCAAATTTAAAATTAAGTTAACGTACGAATTAATAGAAAGTATCATTATAAATATTCATTACGTATTTCCCCATATTTAATTTTTTCGGTTCAAGAGCTAAAGCCTAGTAAAGGGATTTCGCAATATATAATGTGGTAAAACTGATTATATTAAAGAACGAGAAAGAGGATATAGTTAATTGCACAAGTTAAGTGAAACGAAGACGCCATGAAGATACAAATTTTAATATGTTTTGCTGTCATTGTGCTTTGTAAGTATTCCATTGACCATTAGCATTTTACCATGAAAACACTGCTTTAATACTTTCGATAACAACTGTCACTGGTTCAGTTTAATCAGTCTGTTAATCCAGTCTAATACATATGAATAGTCTAATACACATGATTGGGGGGATTTGAGCCAATTAAGATTTTCATTTCATTTCAGATGTCTAATTATAAACTTAATAACTTTCTCTAAAATACTTAGCATGTCAGATAAGAAATATTATGATTTTTTGTTTATGATAAAGTTTATCATATCATTGAATACACTATTGAATTGGAGTTCTTTTTCTGAATTGTGTAATACTTCAAATGAATGAAACAAAAATATTTTTTTCTGAAATGTAACTCACAGTACTCCTTAAGTAATTCATTTCTGAAAAATAAAAAAAATTGTATCGTGATGCAACAGAAAATATTGAGATTATGTATGTGTCATTGCAGCTACCACACATATTGCAAAGCTGTAATTTGTGTATCCCTCATTGGAATTAATTTTTAAAGAAATATTTAAACTCTAATATGTTGACGGTGCGACCGTTGGGGCGAGCGCATTGTTCACTTCATTCGTTAAGATCCGCCTCTTCAAACCGCATGAGAGATTTGGAACGTCTAGACTGTGACGTCACATGACGTCGTATGTTAGCTGCATTTCCATAAACAAAGTTTAAAAAGTGCAATGATTTTAACAAAGAACGTTTAATCTACTATCTGTATGCAATATCCATTAAATTAAGGTGAGTTTATTTTGTCTGAAATTTTAGTTGTTGTTACCGCGTGAACGAAGTTAGCAACGAGAACAAGAAGCGATGCATTGTGGGTCCAGAATTACTGCGGAAAAAAATTCTATTGAATGAATGTGCAGTAGTCCGAATTTTCTCTTCGCCCAGGTGTTGTCGTTAGAGCTCACAGTGACGAGCGGCGCTTCGCCCCGCTCGCTGCGCTTGCTAATATACTCTTCGAAAACAAGGCTTATTTAAAAATTATCTTAAATAAGTATGGAAATTTCAATGTGTAGTAGTTGTAACTCAGAAATTATAAACATGATAAAAGTGAAAGTTTATTTGCACTATACAGAAACTAAGTTTATCTCAATTTTAATCTTAATGCTTGCATGGGTTACCATTTCCATTTTTAATTCTTTTTTAATTTAAGAAAATGAGTGCACAAAAAATAATGCATTGTAATGTCAGCATTGCACTACAAGTATATACTTACTTCAGTTTAATGCATTGCAATGCCAATCCTGATCCCCACTGATTTGAAGATTGATCACTCGATCACAAGATTTTACACTTCTTAGGGATCAATCTCAAATACTGTAGGTTATAGAAAAACTTGCTTTCCAAAAATTTTTTTTTTCAATGTATATTTATGCACCAGATTTATACATATTTTACAATATATCAGGAACGTATATACTATCAGTATACTAAGGCCAAACAAAAAAATATGTGTGGTTCCGGTTACACCTCCAAAAAATTTAGGGTAGGTAGGTAGGGAATTTTTTTTTTTTTTTTTTTTTTTGACAAAAAGATTTTTAAAATTTATCTAAATAATACCTATCACTGCTTTGCAAATGGCATTTAGATGTGCCATGATAATATACTAGTCAACATTGGTAGGGGGCATCCTAGTTGTGAATATCAAACAATTTTTTAAAATCAAAAATAATAAAAACACAAATTCCGGAAAAAATATGAAAATTGCTGGAAAAAAGTTTAGGGTCAGGGGTGTTAAATAGGGACGGTCAGGTAACCGGAACCTTACATATTTTTTTATTTGGCCTAACTGTTAGAGTGTATGTCCCTGACAATATTTATAGCCAAAATAATTTTTTTTTCAATTTTTGCACTTTAAGATTATATCCCATATGAGATAATATATCCCAAATCATGCAAATGGGCTATATATATCCCATTTGGACAATATGGCCCCAACCTGTTTAGGGTTGTATCAATATACTTAACATGATCCAAAAGAACACAAGCACCCAAAAAGAACATATAATAATTAACTCAAATGAGCAATAAAATGTACATAATATTAATTAATTGGAATAAATAAATACTTAAAGGTCATACTATACGATGCTTGAGATATATTATGATGATACTTAGATATAATTAGTTAACTTTCACTTTTCATTTTTCTCCCCCCCCCCTCCAGCGGGGGTTATTTGTCCATTTTGGACAGTTCTAGTTTTTTAAAGACAAGTAGAATAAAGGTTTTTGTTTCCTGATGATTTTTCAGTGATAGCCTTGACTGATGCTAGAGGGGGCCGAGGGGGAAGGGGAGGACGATTTTCCTCTCGCAGCCGTTTTTCCTCTAGAAGCCGTGCATCATCTAGATATGTGTCCAAATTTTCGGGAAACAGGTTATCTTCGAAAAGCAGTTTGAGGACAGCCATATTGTTAGGTTCAGTTTATGGTGCCACAAGATGGAAGAGACGGTCTAGCTTTAGGTCAAAGGGGAGTTGTAAGTATTCATCCAGTATCAGGCAACAATTTTATGAGATTTGCAAGCAATTTTTTGTTACATAATGGTTGAATCTAATGATTTCAACTGGTGATAAATACAAATCTCAAACTGCTCTCACTGATAATTACTTTTTACACTGTTTTTTTGATAAAACCAAACACTAAATCAACACTTTGGTAAATTCAGTGAATACTTGTAATTTAAAAATGGTTGAATCTTAAAACTGACTGTCATAGTGAATCCTGAATGCAAAATGGATTTTATTTAAAAAAAAACTTAAAACAGGAGTAAAGTCAAACTCTTTTATTAGTATCACATTTTGAATCTAAATTAATTGAAATTTTCCATAATTTTTCCATAGTACCAGAAGTCTGCTACAATGACAAATATGATAAGAATGCATGGGGCAATGTATCATATGTGGGGAGATTCATTTGCCCTACAGATGACAGTATGGGGGATGACCACACCTACTGCTGTGGTGAGGAGGGTCAGCAGTATTGTTGTACATTCTGGGATGAGTAAGTAAAAAAAAAATAAGGCTGAATAAAAGTATTACTGGTGTATTGTCATAACTTAAGTCTATTTAGAGTGTTATCACTGTTAGAAATTTGTTCCTGATTCTTTCTTTGGATATTTATAATTATTATAATAACAGGAGTATTGTATTAACCAGAAAATGTTTGTGGTTGTAAATTATTGTTTTAAAAGAAATATTTATCTCCTGGTTTTAGAAGGTGTGTTTACATGTCCAGGGGTTTGTAAGTTGTGTAATGTTTCATTGATACTTTCAATAAATATTGTAACTGATGCCATTTAGATTGATATTTTATTTGTTTTCAGTGGAGGGAGAGTGGCTGGTGTTGTAATAGGAATAATTGTGGTAGCTGGGATAATTTTCATTTGTTGTTATTGCTGTATTAAGAGACACAAGCACAGTTCAGGTTCAGTCATTCGCAGTCCTCCAAAAAGCAACCAACACATGACAACAGGTAAATAGATGGAGTAATTAGAATATAATAGGTGTATGTTTTATTCAACTAAATCTATGCATGTGTGGTTCTAGTATTCATCCAGGGGTGATTATAATTAAGCAATACTACTTTTCAATTCATTTACTGACAGCACCATCAAACATTAGCAAGTAGTCATGAATACTACAAAAAATGAACCATGATTACATAAAGTTAGTTATTAAATTAACAAACATTAAATAATGTGCATATCAATTGTCTTTCTTTCCTGATATAAAAGTACTTCTTTAAAATGTTACGAAGTCTTCTAGCCATTTTGACATTAAGAGTTATTTCAGTGAAAAGGTTTTCTTTCCTAGAGTATATAAAACTGAGCATTAAATACTGGTATATGGCTATATTGTAATCTGCTTTTGTTATAACTAGAACAGAGTACTTTTTGTAAAGGGACTGATGCAGAGTTGTCAAAAACCATCTGTCCTGTCAGCAAGGCTAATAAAAAATTGTCTGCACTGATAACTTACAAGAAAACATTGGTCCAAATGACTGTTTGAAAAAAAAAAATCAGGCGTGATGCAAATTTTTAAAAGACTGGAATCGGGGTGCGCATGTGAAGGTCACAAAAAACAGGATTGATGGCCATGAGGTGGTCAATCAAATTTGTTAAAGCAGAGACATATAAACACATGATAAATTGTGTTAGATATGTCTCTGATTAAAGACTTTCTATCCTAAGGAAAGAAAATTATGAGGTCAAATGCTGTTGAATATAATAAAGAGCATTTTGGTGCAGTTATTTATTTTCCTTTCTGTACAAAATAAGGTACATGTATCTGGTCTGACAAACCTTCAACTGGTCCAAACCTTTGACTTTGTCAGACCAAATGTCTGACATGATTAAAAATTTTTTTTGACAACTCTATAGAGATGATATTTTGTAGGAGGTTTGAGATATAAATGTATATTATTAAAGAAATATTGAATTTCAGTAAATGTAGGTGCACATTTTTTTTAAAAACTGTATGTTAAATCATTGTAAATATGAAGTAATGTTTATTCTAAATTTGAAAATAAGGATGGTACCTGCAGGCAACATCTGATACAAACAGGATGATAATTGTGCTGTAAAGATGCTTTAATGATATGTTTATAAGCCTCTAGTAGCAGATCCTGTGCATGATGGTGTGGAAATGAATAGGGAACTTTTTCTGGGGTAAAAAGACTTTCATCTTGGAATTATTTGGGTGCCAGAAGCTTGGAAGAGACTAAATTAGAATCTGCCAATCACACTTTTGATTCTTGATTTGTCACTGTGTGTCATTGCACCTGCTTGATATAACATAATAGTATACTAAGGTTCATCGACCCTCTGAAAAGAGGGATAACTCTCACTGGGACAAAAAATATTCTTATGAAATTGTCAAGTTAAAAGGCCATTTCTTCCAAATTATGCCCTGCAGGGTATGCTGAAAGTGTGTACATTTTAATCATAAATTTGATTTCTTTTAGAAAACGATAAGCATTGAAGCAAAATTTTAAATAAGTTAACAGAGCTTGAGGGATAATGAACCTTAATATTAACAGAGTGTTGTAAAAGATGGCCAGTTTTGTTGTAAATGAACTGCATGCATGTGTACTAATTGTTTCAGATTACCAAGATCAGAGTGCACCACTCAGATCCCCCTATAATCATGATAATGGTAAGTATATGATACTGGTAGTTGTTATTATGCATGGAGAGTGTTTGGGTTGTTTTCAGGGTAGTCATGTGATTGGATGGTATTTATAGCAAGTGTGTTTGTTGTTCTCAGTAGGACACTGTTTGGCGTTGACTGTAAATTGTTTTAAGGTTATATAACTTTTATTGTATGCAGTGTTTGCACATACATATGTGCATGTAATTGTTTAATTGCAAGTAAATAAAATGTTTGGAGGCATGGCATTCCATATATAATGAATGTGGTTTTCTTTTAGTATAATTAATTCAGACTGGGGGGGGGGGGGGGGGGGAATATAATTATTAAAGCACTGTATTATGGAATTGGAAGGTGACGACGTGTTTAGGTCAGATGTAATGATGTGGAATGGATCAGTATAAAGGTTATTGCATATGGTGAGAAGTTGATGCTGAGCATTTTTCTGTGTGTCAACGTTGGAAATTGGTTTATTCATTTAAGGAATGTTTTTAAGTTTTATGTGAGTTATTGGTGTGTAAATCACACAGACTTTTTACGTAGGCCTATTTTTCAGGAAGAGCTAGATTTACATAGACTTGTCACTTAGGCATATTTCAGGAAGCGCGCTAGCTTACATGCAAGTCCTTGGATTTAAACACCAATAATTCAAGATAAACTTAAAAACATTCCTTATATTTACATCTTACATTTAAAAGCATCCAAAATATACTCAGTGTTTGAATTTCCCGCTGACCTATATCATTTTATTTTTATTAACATCTCTGTAGCCTCATTGTGACATCACTTTAGTGTGAGTTTCTTTGTGTATATTTCTATGCGTGAGTATACACGAAAATGGCATTTAAATCAATTTCATAGTTGGTAAAGTAGAAAAAACACAGCATACATAAAAATATGAAATTTATGCAGACAAGGGTCTGTATGTTTCTAAGGAAGCATGCATATAACTCTATAAATATATAGATACAATGAAGATAAGTGACATTATTTTGCAAGAAATCAATATAAAGGTTTGATAAAGGTTTGCAAAAAGTTAAAATAAATGTCTTAAATAGTGAACTTCAGATTGTATGAAAAAGTGTGCATGAATATTTAGGTTCTTTTTACACATCATGCATTTAACAATTAACATGTACATGTACTAGGATATTTTTTTAAAATTGGATTTTATGACTATAAATATAATGTTAAGCATTTATACCCCTTCAGCATTGTTTACACCATCTAACAGTCCAAGATTTGAAAAAAATAGATAACCGTGTTAAGTGATACCTTAAAAAAAAAAAAAAAAAACACTGAAAGTATTGCTTATAAGGATGTTTGGCAGTCTGGGTATCCTTATCTTACAAAATTTCTAAATTTTAGGTCCAACACCTCTTCCAATGTCAGATTACCCAATGAGAAAACCTCACTATCCAGGACAAGAGAATGGACTGCCCCCCTCTGGTGCTCCCCCTCCCTATGACTCTGCCACTGCTGGTCAGGGAAATCTACCCTATGACCCAAATCCAAGTAAGTACTTCTTTCTCATGTTCACTTAACAATTGCTACTACAGTATTTCTAATGGAAGTTATGGAGTTGGCGCAAAAAATAAATGTTGTTTTCATTTTGTAATTTGATGGTAATTTTAATGCATGGACAAGTAAGAAATATATAATTGGATATAATGACTTGTACAATGAGAGGAAAAACTCTTTGGATGCAAGAAGCAAATTTTTAATCCTTGATCTAACAGACAAACAAAAGGACCACATTAGTAAAACTACCTCCATCTTAATTTGTTGGGCAAGATAATGAGAAGTATAAAGCTAAAAACCCTTGATGCTTTAAGATTTATGATAAGATTTGATAATTTTGCAGAAACTAATCTGATTCATGTTGTCTTTGTAAATTCTACAGCTGGGAATTTGCCTTATCCTGTGAATCCACCACCATTTCAAAATCAAGGTATACATGTATTAATTTTGTGAAATATTCTCAGTAGTGTGGTGTGATACATCTAATACGTGTGTCACATGAAGATCTTTCTTCACCCCAGTTATGTGTGCATGAGGTGTTACACGTCTTCACTAGAATCTACTTACTTACCTCTTCATCAAATCCAATCACTTTTAGATTTAAAAAAAAATTAATAATGTTACATGCATGTATTACCATAAATTGTATTGCTGAAGTTTGGAATCTTTCTTATTTTATAATTTTTTTTTATTCTGAAGGATTTTTTTTTTACTTCAATTGTATCAATTCATCTTTTTTTTTTTCTTAAATAACTATGCTGTATTAAAAAATTAATATTTTCCTGAAATTATATGTTTACTCACTGTTGAAATTCTTTAAACCCTGTTCTCTTTCATTACACACCCTAGATCACTGATTTCTTTCCTTGAACAGTAGTTATAGTCTCTGTAGATTTTCTTGATATTGTACACTGCAAAGTTATCAGTTTCAAGTGCAGGTAACAAAGAGAGGGAAAAAAGTACAAATAGTATTAAGTACAAATGGCATAAAATTTATAAAAATTCGGTTACAAAAAGGAGGGGGTGGGGGTAGGAGGAGGCTATGTAAAATTATATCAATCTATATGTATTACTATGACTATTGTAGCTTATATACACATGTATTTTACAGGTTAACTAGAAAAATATCAGGCATTAATTGCCTTTAAAAAATGAATCTTATATCCGACGTGGCATGTAAAATTTATGTATACATGTGTATGTCAAGTATATATGTAAAATATTAAAGTAAAATGAAGAAAATATATATGTAAAATAAAAATAAAACTTGATTAGACCTGCACTGTCTAAAGAAAGATCAGGTATATTGTTGTTATCCTGGTCTGTCCTTCCATCTGTCACACTATCTTCTTCCTCAAACTACTCTTACATTTTGAGCAGTAGCCATTTCCCTTTTTGGAATGATTAGTGGTGCCTTGAACATGTGCAGAAAGATTCTGAAATTTTCACTTTCATTCTGGGGGCCATATGGGGTTAAAATATCAGTGTTTTTCTTCAAAAACCTGGTTCCTTGAACTCCATTTACATTTTTCACAGTATACCCATTCATATTTTGGAATTTGATTTGAGATTGTCCTGTAGATCTGCAATAAGGTTTCGGAATTTTAATATTCACCCTTGTTACCTAAATATGAAAGTGAGTACACTTAGAGGCAAACACTTATGTGTGGGTATGACTGTCTTATGACAGCATATACAAGTAGCTTCTAAAATAGGTCATGAAATAATTTTTCAACTGCATTTTTTGCAGTATCGTTGCATCCTGTGCATTTCTTCTCTGGGGAGAAAAATAAAACAGATTAAGGATGTATGGCATTTTTCAATTGCTAGAACAAATTACTGCAAATAATATGGGGAGATTTATTGTCATCAATTTCTTGTATAATTGATGGTAGCAATGGCTGTTTTTCTATGTTTGTGAATGTCAGGATATATTGATCAGATGTTGCTTGTGCTAGGAAAAGCATAAGAAATGATTGTATAACATCAATTATTTACAGTGTATGAGTAGATGTTCTAATCCAGATAATAGTATTTGTTTTTATATAATTTTTGAAAGAATGAATATTCAGATTAGATTTAGAGGCTATAATGAATAAATATGACATTATAAACATACTTTTGTATATTAAACTTTTCTCAGAATGATAAATGCCACCTTTTCTCTTGACAAGTAGAATTTATCTGTATTGAAAACCTTTGGATGAAATGAAGATTCTATTTGACTTCTGTGTATTTTCAGACGGAGAGAAGCCACCCATGTCCTCCAATGGATCTCTACCCTATCCCTTACATCCACCCACTGCACCACCCTATGATGGGGCACCCTACCCCACAGGCAACACTCCTTACCCACCAGCAGGCAACATGCCATACCCACCAAACAATGCTCCCTACCCAAATCAGTAAGCATTGGGTGAGGTGCTGGGAGGGAGTTACTGTCTTTTGTGTACAAATTGCTTGTTATGGCATTTTCTCTGTAAACTTGCTTTCAGATTTTTAGCAAACTATTTTTATGTACATGTATTGAACCTTATGAACAAATGGTATTTGTTTATTTTTGTTGGACATTATATTTGATGATTTAGATTTGGATAAATTTTATAATTTTTGATAAGTCTAGAACCGTATGATTTTTTTTTTTTTTTTACATGTTTTGAAATATTACCATTTTATTTTCTTTTAATTGAGTTGTTGAAAAAAAAAAATTGTTTAATATTATCTTTTTATTTTCCATTTATTTAATTTTTCATGTATTAAGAACCAGTATTTCTGCTGGATTAAAAAAAAAATGTTTTTTTTTCTTGCCCTGAATGTTGGGATAGTTATATTTACAGTACTGAAATATTTGCACTCACACCACTTTGTGAAGAGGATAAAATCTTCGGATTATAATTTTTATTTTTACCAAGTGCTCTTACATCTGTTACTATATAAAACATATTAGTTTTATGTAACTATATGGTAGCATTCTTGTTTTTTACAAACTGAGCAGTAGATCTAGAATTACATCGTATATCATTTGACAGCATTTAATCTTGTAACAGTAGATAGCTATAAATCATAGTAAAATTGAAAGAAAAAATTCATTGGAAACCAGATAAAAAAAAAAAAAAGAAAAAAATTAATTTTCTCTTCATCTGTGTATAAACACCTTCAAATCCTCATATATTATACAGAATTTTTGTTGTTGAAAAAATATTTCTACTAACACTCCCTTCAAGTAATAAACAATTTAAAAATTTTCATGAACATTCCATACCTATTACCTCCAAAGTTTGTGTTCTGACAGTGATGTTTCAATCTTTTAATGAATGCTGTGCTATGAATTGAAAATTTTTTTTATTTGAAATTTGTCTTTTCATCAGCTCATTGTACAGTAATTTTACAGACTTTCAAGAACTCTTGAGCATTTATTTTGCTCTTTATAAGTAATAGCCATTTGACATGAAAGATTCTACATCAGAGGCATTGCAAAAATTGATAATATTGTTAAGTTGTCCTTTTACCTATATGTTTGAATTGGTTGTTAATTCAATTTCAGATTGAAAATGTACATATATTTGTTTTTGTATTTTTCATTCTTCATGGTACATGTACTTATATTAGTAGGCATATCATGTATATCAATACATGTATTTTGTTTCAGTATTGAGTATTGATGCAAAAATCACTAATTGAATGTAGATTTTGTTTATATATGTTGCTATTAATCCTTGATGAGAAATATATTCCCTGCAGTAGAGAGTACTATAATCACATACCATGGGATTTGTGGGTATTTTATACAACAGAAATTATCTGGTCATTGTACTGTATTTACTATATATTATGTCAAATTGAAACACAAAGTGTTTTAAAGTTGAGGGTAAATGTTGTATATTTCATATATTTTTATTGTGAGTGTTTAAAATATATCCTTGAAATACTTAGATCAGTTTTGATAATAATTTTTCCACTTAATATTTGCTAATAATAATTCACTTCAATAATAATTTCATAAAAATAGAGCTGATTTATAAATTTACAAATTGGAAGGCTAACAAAATTTGGCAAAATATTATGCTAGCAAGGCTTTTATTTTATATTAATTGAAAGGTATAGCACTGTTATTAGCTTTCAAGTAATTACTAGTTGTATATAGCAAGACCATTAACTCCTGCTAACATTAGCTACATGTAGTTAGATAGCTCTTTAGCTCAGTAGAGGATTAGATTTTAAATCTAAGGGTTACTGGTTCAAGCCTTATTGTGGGCCATTCTACCTAAACTGCCATAGTAGTTCCTGATCTGACTGGCTAATATTCAAGATAAATTTGAGTATTTAGCAATCACTACTTTATCTATATGATTTTTTCACAATTATGAACACGTAAAAAATCAATGTTAGTTATATTGATTTAGCTTTGGCATAAAATTTACATGTGCTTGGCATCTTGTATTCTGTGTACAATGTACATGTAAGTAATATATCCTGCTTAATGTTAGGAATGTTTACCTAAATGTTGCTGTTTTGTTGTGTTCTATATACAATCTTCAATGTTGTGATCCATTTTCACCTAAAACTTTTTGTCTTTATTCTTAGCATAATGGTGCTTGTCTTTTTTTTCTCTCAGAGGTTAATCTGTTCTTATTTATTCACTGTATCAGTTTTTCTAAAAGTTTCAAAATTATTTTTTTAATATAAAATTGCTTTTTCATACATGTATACAGATATTTCGTCTTTTTTGGCACTAACTAGGAATTTTTAATATGCAGATTTTGACTTGTGAATATTTTAGAAATGAAGAGATATTTTTATGTTTCTTCTTTATGTACTTTATATTGCTAATTTGTACATATTATATAATAGCTGTTACTTTAACAAAATTATTTATATGTTGCATACATGCAATATGTTGTTTTGAATGCTTATTACCAGGTACTTCATTCTTATATAATAAGGCAACCATTAATTATAAGTAAATTAATTCTGAATGTTAAATCTTTAGCTTGTCCTTTAAAAAGTCTAGTTTATGAAAGTTCTCTGATTTTCCAGATTTTTAAAATTTATCCAAATTAGATAAAGTACTTATTTGATGGAGCCCTTACTTGGCATATCTATTATATTTTTGGATTTGTGAACTGATGTGTAGCAAAAAGAAAAATCTCAGTTTCCAGTCTCTATGGAACTGAATAGAAGATGCCAAATAACAAAAGGTTCCAGAGAATTAATGATGAAACATTTTCCAGAGATCTATTGATATATATGTATTAATCATCTGGTTACGGTATTGAGAATACAGTATTGAGATAAACAATGCTTCTGGAGAACTTTTGAGGTGACAAGGATTCCAGAGTATTATTGAGTTGAAAAGGATTCAAGAAAACAATGATATAACAAGGATTCTAAATAGCTATTAACAAGGATTCAAGAGAAGTTCTGAGATAAGAAGTGTTCTAGAAAACAATGATATACATGTGACAAGGATTCTAAGTAACTATTAACAAGGATTCAAGAGAACTTTTGAGATAACAAGGGTTCAAGAAAACAATGATATAACAAGGATTCTAAATAGCTATGAACAAGGATTCAAGAGAAGTTTTGAGACAAGGATTCCTGAGAACTATCGATAAAAACAAGGGTTCTAAAACTATTGATATAACAAGAGTTCCAGGGTACTATTTATATAACAAGATTTCAAGAGAACTTTTGATATAACAAGGGTTCTAGAGAACTATTGAGATAATAAGGATTCTAGAGAACAACTTATATATCAAGGGTTTCAAGAGTATTATTGAAATAAAAAAAAGTTCAAAAGACAATGGTTCTAGAAAAACTATTGAGATACGGGTTTCAGAGAAATATTGAGATACATGTAACAAAAGGTTCCAAAGAACTATTGAGATAACAAGGGTTTCAGAGAACTATTGAGTTAACATGGGTTACACACAACTATTGAGTAAACAAAGGTTCCAAAGAATTATTGAAATAACAAGGATTTCAGAGAGAAGGATTCCAGATTAGTATTGAGATAACAAGGGTCCCAGAGAATTATTGAGATAAGAAGGTTTCCAGAGATTTGTGTTTCAGAGAATTGTTGAGATTGGAAGTATTTCAGGAAACTATTGACATAACAATGATTCTAGGGAATTATTGACATAACAATGGTTCTAGAAAACTATTGACATAACAATGGTTCTAAAGGATTACTGACGTTACAATGGTACAAGAGAAGTATTGACATAAAATGGTTCCAGAGAACTATTGACAAAATGGTTCCAGAGAACTATTGACATAACAATGGTTCTAGAGAACTATTGACATAACAATGGTTCTAGAGAACTATTGACATAACGATGGTTCTAGAGAAATATTGACATAATGATGGTTCTAGAGAAATATTGACATAACGATGGTTCTAGAGAAGTATTGACATTACAATGGTTCTAGAGAACTATTGACATAACAATGGTTCTAGAGAACTATTGACATAACGAGATCAAGAGAAGTATGTTAGATGACAAGGGTTCCATTCTAAGTAAAAGAGCGAAAAGATTTGAGCTAAAAGAGACATGCATCTCTCTGATTTTTTCAAATAAAAACTAAAAGGGCTTGACATAGTAGATTGTTATACATAACCAATGGTGTGTTCAAAATTTCAAATTCAAAATTGGCTTCAGCTGGCTTAAAAAGTACCCGGCCAGGACGGACAAAACTTCGGTATATGCCTCTTTTTTATTTAATTATTTGTTAAGAGGGTTAAGTAGAGGGCCATTCTTTTTAGTTGATTCAAAAAGCAAGCATCTTCATGTAAGGAAAATTTAGGGCAGTTTAAGTCGTGGTGCTCCTGTAGCTCTGAGGGGGGAATTGTCGTAGCTAGATTGAGATGCTTGTCTCACTGTTAAGGGTCTGTCGGCCGCGTTAAGGCACCTGGCAGGTCTAAGACAGAGGCAAGGAGGCGAAGCCCCCCAGGAGCTCAACAGAAATGAACAATTTAGGAGTTTGAGTTTCAGTATGTTGAGTATGAATATCGTATATGTATAACAAATTGTCTTTGAATAATGAAACAAATTTATTGATTTTCTTCATTTACATGTATTCATGTATTTTTTTTAGACGTGGATACTTTGGTATACAAGCATAAATGATAACCCCATCGCTCAGAGGAAATAAAAGTTTTATATACATTTGTATATAGGAAACTGGTTTGAAAAAAAATCTTCCGCAGAACAGCAAGGCTGCAATTTTTAAAACAAGTTGTTACAATCTGTACATGTCTAATTTATGCTTATGGTTCCATTAATGAATATTATTAATCTACATTGAATCATTCGTCAGGAAGAGAAAAAAATTACTTGAATGAATCAAATTGTTTCAAAAAACCATCCCAATTCTTCCATGTAATAATGTATTCTTACTTTCCCAATGTTGTCCGGCGCCTGTCCATCTGTTTGTCTGTAAACCTTACACATTTTCGACTGTTTCTCTAGAACCACTGTGCCAGTTCAACCAAAGGCACGGGGCACCTTTATTAAAAGGAAATTCAAAACTCTGCAAATAAAGGTACATGTCTCTTCCAAGGGGAGATAAGAAAAGAAAAAAAATGTTGTGCTCGTTTAAAAATCTTTTCAGTAACCACTGGG